GATATCATTCAAAATTAAACTTTTAATGATATGTGTTTTATATGTTTTATATATACATGTATATTATCTTTTATACGTTATAGATTAATTGGTTATAAATTTCCGGGTAAAATCATTTTTCTTACATAATCATCGATGAGGCAAGTCAAGCGACTGAACCAGAAATATTAATTCCTCTCACAGTAACAAATAAAAAAACTGAAGATAAGAGAACTAGATTTCAAGCACAGATTGTTATTGCGGGTGATCCTTACCAGCGTAATAACTTCGTATAGCATACATTATACGAAGTTATCGTCGTATAACTTCGTATAATGTATGCTATACGAAGTTATTACGGAACGCTATTCGTAGTACTGATAGTACTCGGTGAATAAAGGAACGCACCCTAGGAGTAGAGACATTGGATGCTTTCCAACAAGGAGAGTTTAGTGTTACACAGTGTGACACAGAGAGACACTAGGTGCTTTTCAACAACGTACACAGGCGACACTGTGTAACACAGTGTCTACACTGGTGCTTTTCATCTATGACATAGAGAGACAGAACGACACTGCGAAACACAGCTCAATCCTAAGTTTGGCCATGTCGACATCAATAGTGCCAATATATCGAGCAAAATTGTTTTTTTAAGTGTGGTACTAATATACATTCCGGTCATTATTGTCATTTTAGATGCGTTCCGTTTCTTGCATGATGCGCATAATGTATTTATCCTTGTTTAATGTATTGTGATAAGGATAAATGATACATCACGCGTATCATGCGAGAAACGGAACGCATTCTTTATCTGCAAAAAAATGTCTTCGTTACATTCGAATAACGTAGTACCAAACCCGAAATTCTTAAGTAATCAATATTCAGTTTTGTTTTATTTAAAGAACTATATAAACTTAAAAACATTACGTATTTATTGATAACCCATTATTAGTACAAATTCTATTGGATTAATTTTTATTGCAGATATGTTCTTTTGTCGGCATTGTAAAGGAATTATTTCTACATTAGATGATATTAAGCATCAGGCTTGTTTCAAAGGAAAAGAAGTTTTCCTTGAAAGAGAAAAGGAATTATACTCACCTGAAATGAATGAGATTCTATGTAATGTTAAATCGAAAAGATCATAGTTATTTCACAAATATAAAATAAAGCACTTTGTAGCCAGGAATGAAATAATCAATACATATAATTTATTTAAATTTATTTCAGTATGTATCAATAATTCTTCAAAAAATGCACTGGCAGTAATGAATAATAACGAAAAAAATGCGCTCATGTTTATGCGTGATGATCTTCTCCTACGTCACAATCTTTTAGTTCTCTAGTGAACGTGTTTAGTAACTTATGTGTCCCAATTAAACTCTATAACAGTATCTTACAGTGTCTCTCTGTGTCACACTGTGTAACAAAAAAACTCTCCTTGTTGGAAAGCACTCACTGTAAGACACATTATAGAGTTTAATTGGAACACATAAGTTACTAAATACGCAGAGCACTAGAGAGCGTGAAAGATTGTGACGTAGGAGAAGACCATCACGCACATAAACATGAGCGCATTTTTTTCGTTATCATCCATTATTGCATTTTTTGAAAAATTATTGATACATACTGAAATAAATTTAAGTAAATTATATATATTGATTATTTCATTCCTGGCTACAAAGCGCTTTATTTTGAAATAATATTTGTGAGCGCTATATTTGTGAAATAACTATGATCTTTTCGATTTGACATGGAATCTCATATTTTTTATATTAATTTATTACAATTAATTAATTTATGACTATATTTTGCAATTTTAGTATCTCTATTATTTAATAACATATTATCACACTTTTCACGTGTTTAATACACATGTACAATACACTTCAAATCAATGCAAAATAAAAAATATTGCTATTTATTAGAGTGAGATAGTGTATATTTCTTTCTTTCTCGTAGAATTTAACCAAAACATGGCGAATCAGAGTCTCTGATTGGCGAGTCAGAGTCGTGGCCAGTCTCTGATTGTAGTGTCTGTAGTCTAGACGGGAGAGTTCCGTTAGCGTATAGTGCGATAACACACATCAGCCGCTGCTTAGGAATTTTCCAATAGACCACCAATCAGAAAATTTTATATTTAATCGACCAATCAGCGTTGTGTGCTATCGAATCCCTCTCGTCTAGACTAGACATAAAAAAATAGCCAGTAACTATTTAGTCTAGACTAAACAATGACTAGACATAAAAAATAGCTAGTAGCTAGCTAGTCTAGACAGTAACTAGACAGAAAAAACTAGCTAGTAGATAATTAGTCTAGACTAGATGGTGACTTAGCAGAAAAAATTAGCTAGTAGCTAGTTAGTCTAGACTAGCTAGTAGCTATCTAGTCTAGTCATGATTGACTAGAGAAATTATAAAGCCTAGTCTACAATAACATAACATAAGAATCGTAAAGAAGCCTTTTCATATTAACGCTCGTTGCTTTAAATATTTTAGCGAATTCGATTCACTGTACACACTGGGTTAGTGCACACTAAACGCTGATATACATGAAATTATTCAAATGTAAAAATATATAAATACTTCAAAACAATTATATAAATAATCAACAATAAATTTGTCGTATTATTTAGTTGAATATGAATTAATAATTTTATTATCAAAGAAGTAATATTATGTTATTACATTTAAATATTTCATATGTAGCAATCTTTAATGTGCAGTGTAGTGCAGTGAATCGAATCCGCTATTTAATTGACCAATCAGAACAAAGAATTTTATTAATTGACCAATTAGAAAATGCTTTGTAGTATTTTCTAGCATCAAACTGATTGCATGGACTTTTAACCTGGATCCTCATGCAGACACCAGCGCTTTGACGCAGATACTGATTGGTGAAAAATGAGTAGTGGGGATAAAACGGCGAATGAATCTATGAGTGCGTTTCTTTATTCACTCCTTTATTCAATACTGTCAATACTACTAATAGCGTTCCGATAGGGTGCATTCGTTTACGCAGTGTTTTGTGCATCCACTGCTTTCTCATCTGCTTGTCACGTAATCGAAATTTACCGAATGGATAACTGCGTGAATAACTGCACGGATCGTACCTTTCAATAGAAATTGAGCCGATTGTTTGAATAATAAATAAAGAAACAATTTTATACATAAATTTATATTCGAATAATTAAAATGTAATAAAACTTTTTTATTATATAAAAGATAATATTTTATTGATATTAAATTTAATTGATATAAATAATAGATATTATAAAAAATATTTAATCTATGAATTTTACTTAAAAGTTAGATATTTATATATAATTTTATATATAATTTTTCGTGAATTATATTTTATTATTCTTATTTTTTCTTATTTCTTCTTATTTTCATTCTTATTTTTTCTCATTTTATTTTTATTTTTTTATTCTTATTTTTTATTTTTTTATTTTATTTTATTTTTATTTTAATTGTATCTTATTATTCTTATTTTACTTGGATCAATTATTTGTTTCTGACCCTTTTCGCTTCTTATTCTAATAAAATTCATTTTGGTGTTCGTTTACGCAGTAACTGCAAGTAGAGCATTCAAAGCAGAACTTCCGAGATAGCTGCACAGATGAGATGGGTGAGGTCCAATCGGACACATTGCCGATTGGTCGATTAAATAAAAAACTTTTGATAGGTGGCTCACTAGAAAATTTCTAGACATCGACTGATGTGAGTGGTGTGTCCGATTGAAAATGTGCGCATCTGGGACGCTCCCGGTGACATACATTTCATACATCCCTGCGTAAACGAACCTCGCTGCAGTCACTTTCACAGACGGAGTAAACGAACGACATCTGCGATAATGGCTGCATAAACAAATGCACCTATATAGAGACTATGAAAGTACTGCCTTGAATTCTATGACGTCATTGATTTTGACGTACTTTCTGTTGCGGCTATTGCAACCAGTGAAGTAAGGTAGTCAGAGCACAAAGATGGCTGCTTTCATGGAGACTGAAATAATTGATGCTGCTTTGATTGATACTGAAGAAAATAAAGTGTATAATATGAAATAATATAATATAATGAAATTATTACGATATTATATAATATTATGAAATTATTTATTATTTTTGTTATAAAATTATTATTATTGTTGTTGTTGTTGTTATTGTTATTTGTATGAAATTATTATTATTAATATTATTATTAATTTTTTTATTATTATTTATTTTTTATCGTTATTATTTTATATATATATATATATATTATATTTAATATATATAATAAAATTATTATTTTTTTTAATATTAGATATGCCAGCCATTATTTTAGTTAGAA